ACCCACCAGCTGCTGCCAGGTTGGGGGGGGGGGAGGGGTGTGATCCCTGCTGCACCCTACTGCCCCACACTGCGTGCGAGGCTCGGCCACAAGCTCCCAGCCCCCCCATCCCCTAGGCAGCCCCCCCTGGCTCCAGCTCCCACCTCCTTTAAGCCCTGCACACTCTGGCTCCTGCCAGGCGGGGGGGGAGGCGCACCCCACTGACCCATGCTGCAGGGTGGGGCACTCTGCCATGAGCCCCCAGAAGACCCGAGGCTGCTGCAGCAGCCAATGAGTGAAGGGCTTGTTTGTTGTGTTTGTTTGTTTTTTTTTAAGAGCCAAAAGCTGGTGCCTGGCGGGGCAGCCATTGAGGGGGCTGGGAGAGCAGGCGGGGGCTGGAGGCTCGTGGCAGAGCCCCTGATGCAGTGCGGATCACTGGAGATTGCCACCACACCCCGCCTGGCAGTTGCCGGTGACTAGGGGCTTTTTTCTTTTGTTTGTTTGTTTGTTTTTTAAAGAATCAGGGGCTGGGGCCAGGTGGGACAGCCATGGGGTGTGGGGCTGGGAGAGCGGGCGGGGGTCAGGGGATGGGGCCTAGTGGGGGTCCCCCAATGGTGCCCTCCCCCCTCCTCCAGCCCCCCCACTCCCTACTTAACAGCACGCAGTCCAGGTCCAGCTCCCTGTGGCAGCGAGCGGGGACTGTCCAAATCTCCGAAGCTCTCCAAATCTTTTCCAAATCGATTTGGAGAGCTTCGAATTGATTCAGACCTTTTTACTGGCCTCCTGATTCGATTCAGATTCAGGGATTTGGCAGCCGAATCAGGCCGAATCACCTCTGCATCAAATCAGCACCCAAAGCTTCGCACAGCCCTGCTATTTAATGAACTGTCAGTACTTTTCAATCACAACTAGGAGTACTAACAAATTTAGTTTTTAAGGTAAAACCACTCTCTATCATACAAGTCATAATATGCCATTACCACAGCGTTAAAGAAAAGATAAAAAAAAAAAAACCTTTAATTTGTATTTATACATGAAGCAGTAACTAAGTAATTTGTTGAAAAACAAAGGCCCAAGAAGGTATTCTGAGCTTTTGTAGTTTTATTATTTTAACACTAATTACAATAATTTAAATATCTGTTCTCCCCCTTACTAGCTTACCAGTCTGCTATCTCTACTATGCCTCAGAAAGTCAAAGTTTCTGGGCTATATATTCATATACCTAGCTTATAAAATTTAAAAAGGTGGGAATATATTCTTCATGTAAAAAAACAAAAATGAAAAAGCATCTCTCATTTTAGGACAATCTATTAAACTACAAGCCACAGGAAAGCATGAATATGTCTGCTGCTGGCAGATGAGACTCTCCTATTAATTGTCTAGAAACCAACAACTTTATATCACAAGCAGTCACTTTAATCAAGCCAACATGGATACTTATACCACTAATATAAATCTTTATCTATAAGTATCTAAGTATGCACACAAACAAAAAGCTAAAAGAGCATTATTAAGGTGCCAAATTCTAGCAATTCAGAAATGCTAGAATTAAAGCCATGCTGTATTAAATAGAACTGTCAAGATCCATGCCTCATTCTGTGCACACATTTAAGTGCTTACTTAATGTGTAGACATTCAATATTATGTTTTACTCTCTTTTGCTCAATGCTCAGTGTTTGGTCCCTTGATGACCAATGATATCTTGTCATAGAAGTTTCACATGTATTATTACCTGCACACTAGTCTAATGTTGCACAGAAAACATAACTATTAGTTTCCTCACCACAGTATAAAAGTACTTCACAAATATACTGTATTTACTCAAATACAGGACACCCCTGATTATAAGATGACCCCCCCAATAATTAGATTCTATATGTGGATAATTTATCAATTTGATATCATTTTCCAGGTACAGATTCTAATATTAGATGTCTGCCTTGAAGCTGTCCCCCTCCCACTGCTACAGTAGGGAAAATAAATCTGGGAGGTGAGTTAACCCCTTTGTCCCATCCATTTCCTCTTCCCCCTGCCCTCCAGGTTCTTCCCTGCGCCTTATTCTAAGACCCTTCTGTCCCTGAGCAAATGGAAGTAAGGAACAAATTTGAAAAAACTGACCTTGAAATAAACATAGGTGTAGCAATTTAGATATAGTATTCATAGACTTAGTTAACTCAGAAATGATATTTCATAGATTTCATAGACATTAGGGCCTCGGAAGATCATTGAGTCCAGCCCCCTGCCCAAAGGGCAGGAAGTCAGCCGGGTTCATAGGATCCCAGCAAGATAAGCATCCAGTTTGTTCTTGAAGGTGTTCAATGTAGGCGCTTGAACCACCTCCGGTGGCAGGCTGTTCCAGACCTTGGGGGCTTGGACAGTAAAGAAATTCTTCCTTATGTCCAGCCTGAAACGGTCTTGTAGTAGTTTATGACCATTCGACCTAGTCATCATCCCTTGGGGCGCTCTGGTGAACAATCGTTCCCCCAGATACTGGTGGTCACCCCTGATAAACTTATAGGTGGCCATCAAATCAACCCTGAGCCTGCGCTTTTTCAGGCTAAAGAGCCCCAGGGCTCTCAGCCTGTCATCGTAGGGTCTGCTTCCCTGACCTCTGATCATGCGTGTGGCTCTTCTCTGGACTCTCTCAAGCTTCTCCACATCCTTTTTGAATTGTGGAGCCCAAAACTGGACGCAGTACTCCAGCTGCGGCCTCACTAAGGCCGAGTACAAGGGGAGAATGACGTCCCGGGATTTGCTTGAGAAGCATCTA